GATATAACTCGCAATGCAATGTAAACTCAACCCATTTCCATTTATATTTACGCTACGGGGGAAGAAGACACGCACACGCGCGCATGTGTACGCTTCGCCAGCGGTGCAGCCCCCACACAAACATTCGGTGCGCATTGATGCTGGGATTTGTGGTTATGTGCATATCGCACAAATGTATTCTCTTGTATGTATCGTGGTCGGCACGGGTACGTAATCGTGAGTAAGAAGGTGTGTTCGTCAACGTGCGCGTGTGGGCAAAAGTGTATGTGCGTGTGTGCGTGCGTGCGTGCGTGCGTGCGTGCGTGCGTGTGTGCGCGTGTGTGCGCGCGCGTGCGCCCGTGCGTGCGCGCGTGTATATGTGCTCGGCGTTAGGGCGAGCGCCCGAGACATCCCCACAATCTGGGCGCGAACGGAAGAGTGAGATACTCCATGGCGCCTTCCCCCCCTTGAGGGTGCTGAAATCAGCGCCCCGCCCGAGACATCCTCAAACTCTGCTTTGTACGCAGACGAGCCCGGTCACCAAAATAAGCAAATTGCACGAAACATCCTCCCACGTCGAGCCCCCTGGGGTGCGAAAGCCAGCGCCTCGTCCGAGACATCCTCCAAATTTGCTCCGAAAGTAACGGGTGCTGGGCACGCAAACAGGCAAACCGCTTGAGACATCCCCGCAATCTGGGCTCGAACGGATGAGAGATACACCCCCTGGCGCCCCCCTTGGATGTGCGAGAACTAGCGCCTCGCCCGAGAGGTCTTCAAACCCTGCTCCAAAGCGGAGGACGCTGGGCTCGCAAACAGGAAAACCGTTTGAGACGTCCCTGCAATCTGGGCGCGAACGGAGGAGTGAAATACCCGCTGGCGGCCCCCCTTCGGGGGTGCTGCAACCAGCGCCTCGCCCGAGAAATCCTCAAGATCTGTTCCATCATCGTCATCATCATCATCATCATCATCATCATCATCATCATCATCATAATGATAATCATCATCATCATCATCATCATCATCATCATCATCATCATCATCATCTTCAGTATCATCTTCAGTATCATCTTCAGTATCATCATCATCAGCATCATCATCACCGTTAGCATTACCATCGCCATCATCATCATCATCATCATCATCATCATCATCATCATCATCACCATCTTCATCATAGTCATCGCCATAACCGGAGTAGGGACCCTGATTGTCTCCCTGAGTTGCAATGACGACTGCAGAGGAGGAGGAGGAGGAGGAAGTGGAGGAGGAGCATGCGAAGGAGCGTGTTCGTGCGTCCTCGGAACGGCTGAATCATAACAAGAACCCCATCCTTAGGACGTGGGGCATAATGCAATGCGGGCCACTCGCGCCCGTCGGCCGCGCGCGCATGTCGAAATCCTTTCAAAACTTTCATCACCGACACATGGCCACCATCACCATTTCCAGCGTGAGCAGCATCGGCGCCACTATTCGCCTGGCCGTCGTCATCGTGATCATCGTTACCAGCACCTCTACCTATCATCATCGTGTCTGACGTTGTCGACGTCGCCATGATACCGCGCCTGCCTGACCGACTCGGATTGAAGTGCCCGCGCAGTGCCCGCGTGTGAGCGCGGCCAGCGAGTCGCGCCAGGACGTCCCCAGCGGTCAACGCCACCGTGGTAGCGTCGGTCGCGCCAGACTTGCTGAATGTTCTGCGCGCGAGCCTGCGCGAGCTGGCGCGTCTAGGACCAAGCTGTCATCGCAATCGCCGCCACGTGGATTTTGCAAACCGAATTGCGGGAGGGTGGGTGGGATGATTGCGCGAGCAGCGGGGTTGACAACCCACCAGTGAGCGTTATGTATTTCCAAACTATCTAGCTTACACCACATCCACAACATAGCTTGCCCCGCGTAGCCTACATTATATCTGCACTTGCGCCACATAGCCTACACCACACGCTGGTAACACTTTGAACATGTGCCTGGAGGATTGCGCTCTGCGCCGCCAGATCTCAGCAGAGCCATCGGGTTGCCATGTTGGAACCATATAGAGGCACTCTTCGCCCGCGTTAGGCAACCTTGAATCCTTTGGGGCATTTTGGCGTTTCTGGGGATCATCATTGGGCCTTTGGTGCATCCCTAGGGCAAATCGGGTCCATGTTCAAGCCTTGTCCAGCCATGTTCGACGGCAGTGAGGGCATAGTGGGGTCAGCGTCGTCTTCGGCAATCTTTGGGGCACCAAGAGGGATATTGGGGTCATGTTGGACTTGTTTTGGTGCATCTCCAGGGCGAAGCACGCGACAGGCCAAACCACATGACATCTTCTGGCTAATCTTCGTGTGTGTGTGCTTGTGTGTGTGCTTCTGTGTGTGTGTGTGCGTGTGCTGCTTCTTCGCAGGAGCGTCCTGGCTCCTCCTGGCAGGCTCTTGTGGTCCCTCCTGAATTGTCTCGGAAGGAGGGGTCACGGAGCCATTTTCGGCCGCAATCGACCCCTGCATTGGGTCTTTCTTGGGGGCCGGCAGCGGCTGGGCCCAAACGCTGTTCTGCTGGACTTCGGCTGTGTTTTGTTTTTTGTTTTTGGCAGGGAGGTACAGGACAGCAGGCAGAGCAAAACGAAAAACTAAACGAAGACAACACGGAAGACAGCGTTCAGGTCCAGCCCTGTTGCTGGCCTCTTTGGGCCATCTCGGAGGGCTCGTGGGCCCTCCTGGCCGTCTGGCGGCGCCCTTTCAGTCGGGTGTCTTGGGCAGGCTTGAGCGACCAGGGGTCTGGGAGGTCCTCGCACCCCCAGGCAGGGCTCGTGTCGATTCCTCCGAGTCGATTCGATTCGACTTTGATGGATTCCGATTCCGATTCGATTCGATTATGGATTCCGATTTGGATGCCGATTCCTCACTGGAGGCCTACCAACCCGCCGATTTCCGCCGATTCGACTTCTCCCGACTCGGCTGCCGATTTCCGCCGATACGAATCATTTTGACCGCCGATCCGACTTATCGAGTCGACTCTGGGAACACCTGGGGAGGCCCCCACACCCCCAGGTCGCCTTTTGACGCCACGGCCCCCCTAGCGACCAGCAGACGGGAGACAGGACTGGAACGCCGAAGGGCAGGAAATAAGAGACAGGACGAGAGACGGATGACAAGAGACATCCGCAACGCAGCAGTCCAGCAATCAAGTTCGTTGCCTGACTTCCAGAGGGGGCCAGCCGGATTTCATGTTCGGGGGTCGCCATTCCATAAGTGGGCTAATCGAGTTGTCGGTTCGATTCGATTATTTTGCATGTTCGGTTCCATGCAATGCCAGATTCATTTTGGATCAAGTTCGCCAGCTTGTTTGCGAGGAGTTGATTGGACGGGAGAGAAGAGAGTGCGAGGGGTCGGCAAGGCGATAGCGTAGGAGGGAGATGGAGGGAAAAGGGGCGACGGCGACAGGAGGAATACACAGAAACTGATCGCCAAATTGGAGAGGGGCGACGGAGAGAACGAGAGAGAGAGAGAGGCGTACATGCATGCATGCATGCATGCAGACATACGTACATGTATGCAGACATGCATGCATCGATGCAAATATACAAACATACATACACATAATCACATACACACATACGTCCATACGTACATTCGCACGTACATGACATGCATACACATATACATTCATGTATACATATATGTATATATACACATGCATACATCCATGCGCACACACATGCACACATACATACAGAAAGAGGGGCATGGGCAGGGACAGGGAGAGAGAGAGAGGGACAGAGAGAGAACGATACAGATAACGATGGAGAGAGAGAGAGAGAGAGAGATTGGGATAGAGGGACCTGTACATGCACACGTACACACAAAAAGGTTCTCACGTGTATTCGTAGTGGTTATTTGTCGTAGTTGGAGGGGTTTCGCCACGCTGCGGCCCGTGCCGCCTTGGGGGCGCCTCGTGGGTGCCCCGTGCTCGGGGGGTACGCCAGGGTTGCGCCGGGCTGCCGCCCGTGCCGCCTCGTTGGAGGAGTGCGCCCAGGCTGCGCCCGTGCGCTTTGTTCAGAGGCGACGATGGGGGCGAACAGCCCGGGGGAGAGCAATACATGTATTCAGTTGCGCCGATGATCTATGTCTTCGAAAAGTCTCCCGTGCGAATACGTGTAATGCCCGCCCGGCTATTCGCCCCTTGTCGTCGCCGCCGATGTGTGGGCGCCTCGCGTTTGGAGAGTACAGTCGAGGTTGATTGGTCGTTCGACCCTGCCAACTCGAGGGTACCCTTGGTGCCCTGAGCTTCACGGCCCATGCCTTCCTGCATGCCAGTGGCAATGTGGCCCTCGAAAGGGTCTTGTGTCCTCTCGCGTGTCCTGTCCAATCAACCCCGACTCTGTGCCGAGGTTGCTCCTCGTTGCCGCCCGTGCCGCCCCGTGACCGTTGCGTGGGCGCCCCGCTCGCCGACAGGGGGAATGTCGAGGTGCCGCGCGTGCCGCCTCGTGGGCGCCCCGTGCTCTGAGCCTGCGCGACGGTATCGTGTTCACCTCGTAGCTTGCACAGCATTGCTTAGTTGCTCCTCGTAGCTTGCACCACACAGCCCACACGAAATAAGTCGCGCACCGTAGCTTGCACGCCAATGCGTCCACCTCCAGTTCACACGACCTGGCCCACACGACGTAGCTTACACCGCATTGCTTCTTTTTTTTCTCATTTCATCAGCGTATACCAGATAGCTTTTACCTTAGACCGCATAGGTGTCACCTTCACAGTGCGATAACGCACTGGCTGGGGCCACGCTGGCCAACATTTACACATCGACACAGAGAAGAGCGTCACGGAGACAACGATATAATGAGACAAGGGTAGAGAGCCGGGCAGAGAGGGGAGGGAGGAAGAGAGCGAGAGTGAGCGAGAGAGTAAGAGGCACAGGCAGACTGCTATTCATGGAGACAGATATGCAGAAGAGGTGAGGCGGAGAGGGGAAGACCTGTAGGCCTATGGGCAGGTGGCCCTCTCTGCTCCCCTCCTGGGGTCACCCCTCGCCGCATACCGCGCACAGAGGCGTCGTTAGAGACTGTGCCGACGGTGGGATTCTCCACCGAGGAGCCGTTGCCTTCCTTCCTTGCTCTCTCTCTCTCTCTTTCTGCCTCTGTCTTTCTTTGTTTTGTTCATATGTTGTTGCCTCCCTTTTTTTTTTCCTCTCTCTCTCTCTTAATATATCTCTGTCTCTCTTTATCCCTCTTTCTATGTCTCTCTCTGTTGTTTTATTGTTCTCCCTCTCTCTGTCTCTCCCTCTCTCTCTCTTGATCGTTCTCTCTCTCACTCTCTCTTTCTATATGTCTCTCTTTGTTTTTCTTGTCCTTCTCCTCATCCTCCTTTCTTTCGAGGCCCGAACGAACCGAACGAACGGATTGCCTGCGGGCCGCTACGTTGCGCGGGGCGCAATATTGCCCGCGCGCCAGCCTGGCTTGCCACGGGGACTCGTCAAGCAGTCCGCGTAAACACTCAGGATGGAAAGTTGGTCCTTGGGAAGCCCCAGGATCGAGGACCCGTTTTCCCTCAGGACCCTTTCTTCGTATTGCAAGTCTACATCGATACATGCGTACAATTATGTACATGTACATTTTGATGCAAGCTAGATGTAAGATTCCTCTCTGTCTCTCTCTCTCTCTCTTTCTTTCTCCTGCCCCTCCCTAAATCACTTCTCGTTCTTGTCTTTCGGCAGCTCCAGGCTCGGGGGTGGCTCCGGGCGTTTCAAGTCTCCGATGTTCTCCGTCGACAGACCGCAGCTCGCTCCTTCGGCGACGAGCCCAGGAGGGAAGTGCACTCATTTTTAAAAGGCTCGAAAGGCCTCCGGCCTTCTGAGAAGTGTTTTCAGCCCTCTCCTCAGACTGAGACGGCGTCTCAGAAGGCCAGATGGCTTCTGAGAATCCCCGCCGCCTTCTTAGAATGCCTGCCGACTCTCACTTTCACCCCCCGAGCTCGCCGCCGATTTCCCTTCGTACCCTCCTACTTTCCTTCCTTCCTCTCCTCGTCCACAGACGGCCACTGAACTACCCCGGCGGCCGTGCGTCTCTCTGCCTGGGCACAAGCCTCAAGCCTGCTTGGTCTGCTCTGGCCTCTGGCAGAGTCTGGCCTGCAGGCTTTCGCTGTCACGCCTACTCCCGTCTCTGCAGACTCAGCGCCTCGGTTGGACTTGTGTTGTTTACTGAAGACGCCATCTGAATGTTCTTGGCTCTAACTCGTGCCTCTGCCCGCCACTGAATATATCGAAGACGCCTACTGCGAATCACCGCCGCCTTCTGCCTTCTGGAAAACGCCCGTGCGGCAAAACGTTGGGCCGAAGTCTGGCCAAGCGCCTGGACTATGCGTTCCCCCAGCCGTTGCGGAACCCCTAGGGAGGACGAGTAGAGGATGAGGAGGAAGAGGAGGCCGTCATGGGGCCTACAGTTGGCTTCCCGGAAGCATCGCTGGGGCCTCTGATGTGCCTCTTCGGGGGCCTCCTGGTGCCTCGTGGGGGCCGCCTGTGGCCTCTTGGGGGCCTTTCGTCGCGGCTTCTGGGAGCCTCTGAGGCTCCAAGGGTTTCTTTGGGCCTTCGAAAGCTGTCTTGCCTCTCGGCAGTCGTGGGTTCCTCTGGGGGCGGGGAAAGCAGATGTGTCGAACGTGCAAGTTGTGGATACGACCCCGATGGCGCACCACTCGGCTCAGTCTGTGACCGGTCAGTGGGAACCGTTGGTCCAGAGATTCTACAATTACAAGTACATCGCCAAGCAGAGAAAGCCGAAACTAAGAACATTCCCCAATCAGTTCTTGCACTGAAGGGGTCCTAGCGGATAGTCCCCAATCAGTGCTTGCACTGAAGGGGCCCCAGTGGAAATTGAAAGATTAGGCGAACATCTCCTGCCGATTTTGGTGGCCGGGTTCCCGGTTCTGGGTTCCCGGGTTCTTCCTGGTCGATCTCCTTATCGATCTGTTTATCGATCCCATTTCAAACCATCCGCTGATTGGGGGTTTTCTCTGGCGTATTATGTTCGACTACACGTAAGAGTGACCTTTCGCCGGAGTGACCTTTGGTGCGGGCCCCAAGGGGCCCCCCGATCGCCGAACGCGATGGGACAGTAGCGTCTTGCGCGCTCGTATTTGGGCCCCCGCGGCCCCCCAAAAGCCGCGCACCACAGGTCACTCTTACCCAGGGTCACTTCTGCGTGTAGCCGATATGTATCAGGAGGGAAAGGAACACACAGACACAATTGATCGTCGATTCTCCAGAAAACATGGGAAAATATGGGGGAAGTGGGGGGGGAAGACAAAACAAAACAGAAAATATAGAAAAATAAGTGGAATCTGGTTATTTGTGTGTATTTATTTGTGTGTCCCTGGGCCCCTTGAGTGTAGCAAGCACGAGGGGCAAGAACGGCGTCGGGGGCGCAGCGGGGAGAGAGCTCGTGGGGCACCGGTCGGCGCCCTGCGTGCAGGCGCAGCGCGGCGGTCGGCCGACCGGCGGAGGGCTCCGGTCGGCCGGCGAAGCCGTGCGAGCGGAGCTCTCCCAGTCGGCAGTGCGGGCGTCGTGCACGATGTGAGCTACACTCTGGGGCGGCAAAGAGGGGTCGGAGGTGGACAGACCTCCTACCCTGACACGTCGATTAAGGAATGGGCCGTTTTCGGTTCGCGAGGGGGCGTCGCGGCCGTCATTTTTGCGGGTCCAGGTCCGTCAGTTTCGGTCCCAGGCCGTTTTCACTAAGGGGAGGCTTACTAAAGCGAGGTTTGTCCACCGCCAAGGGGGGGTGATGACCAGTGGGGGTGGACATCATGGTGGGGGCCATGATATTTCCCCAGATCTCATGGCGCCCCTTATTATTCCATTACGTCCCTGGGCCCTCGGTGGGCCGCGCACGTGCCGCCGGTCATGATTTGTACCCCCCCTCTTTGACGGCCCCTCTTGGCCGCCCCCGAGAACTACACTTATGATGTTCCAACCTGCTTCAGCCCTGATCACCAGAGAGAATTCCGAACACCAATAAAGTACCGAAGCTCGAGGGTTTTCACGTGTCGGGCCCTGGGAGACGCTCGTCCGACACTGTTTCGACACTCTTTCGACACTCTTTCGACACTCTTTCGACACTTTCTGGGTGCTCGAAATTCTTGTGGGGATGTGGTTCTTGATGGGAGCAACATAAAACTATACCAGAGAAAAACCCAATCTGTGGATGGTTTGATGAATCGTGGGATCGATACAGAGATCGATAAAGGAGATCAACTGGGAACCCGCAAACCCGGAAACCACCGAAATCGGCCCGAATCCAAAAACCAGGAACCCGGGAATTTGGAAACGGGAACCCAGGAACCCAGCCGGCCACCAAAGTCGGTGGGAAATGTTCGCCAAGATTTTTCAGTATCCGCCAGGACCATTTCAGAGCAAGCATTGCCTGGGGAATGAAGATGGCGGTGCCCAGGTTAAGTTTCCTGAGTTGGTGGCCGTGCGCTGCTGCACTCGAGTGGCTTCCAAGTGCCATTCCAAGCGCCTGCCTATCAGCCAGCAGTAGGACCACTCACTCAGGTGCGGCTCACGGCTAGCTCGCGCGGCAGGCACCCAATCACCCGGAGGTGACAATAATTTAGTGGCGTGTCGGCTTCGCGAGCGAGCACGCCATAACACGGAAGCGTCTTGTCAACGCATTGTTGACTCATGCGTGGCAGATGATTGCCCCGTGGTGGAGGGTTTCTCCGAAGGTTTTAGGTGACCCCTCCTCCTCCTCCTCCTTCTCCTCCTCCTCCTCCTCCTCCTCCTCCTCCTCCTCCTCCTCCCCCTCCTCCTCCTCCTCCTCCCCCTCCTCCTCCTCCTCCTCCTCCTCCTCTCCTCCCTCCCTCCTCCTCTCCCTCCTCCCCTCCTCACCCTCCTCCTCCTCCTCCTCCTCCTCCTCCTCCTCCTCCCCCTCCTCTTCCTCCTCCTCCTCCTCTTCCTCCTCGGGTCGCCTGCGGCTCCGGGGGAAACCGTGCACCCCGTGGCTGCCGAGTAGACTTGTTTTTTCCCATGGTGTCCGACTAGAGCGATTGGAGATCACCCCCCCCGGTGCTGCATGTTCTGCAAGTGCTGAGTGTCTGGCGCCCCGGGGGGCCCCGCCGAGCCCCGCGCGGGCCGTCCTGCAGTGGAGGCCCATGCCAAGAGACACCCTGCTCGCCTCCCTCCAGGGTGCCCTGGCCGTCTTGGGTTTCGATGGTGTTGCTGTGGAAGGCGTGACTTTTTCGGAGGTTGATAGACCTCCTACCCTGACACGTCGATTAAGGAATTGGCCGGTTTCGGTTCGCGAGAGGGCGTCGCGGCCGTCATTTTTGCGGGTCCAGGTCCGTGGGCTTCGGTCCCAGGACGTTTTCATATAAGGGGAGGTTTGCTAAAGGGAGGTTTGTCCACCGCCGAACTCTCCCGCACCAGACAGCAAGGTACCCTGGGTTTCGTGGGTTTCGATGGTTTTGCTGTGGAAGGCGTGACTTTCCCGCACCAGACAGCAGTGGACGTCCTGGGATCTCAGGCGTTGGGTTTCTTGTGGGGGGGTCCTTGTGGACTGGCCTCCACTGTTAGAGGCCTCCTAGATGGGGTCGGAACAGCTGTGGTCGGAGGATCGCGCCGCATCGCCGATACATCGCCAATGCATCGGCGATGCATCGGCGATGCGCTGGCGATGAATCGGCGACGTCGGCGACGCATCCGCGACGTCGGCGTGGGGAAAATCGGGCTCAACATCGAGCCGCATCGCCGATGCATCGGCGATACGGCGCGATCCTCCGACCCCTGTCTACCCCGACACCATCTAGGAGGCTTAGAACTGTGCGGGACGGTTCTGGCGCCCGTCCGTCCTCGGGCGCCTCGGAGGGCCGCGCGGGAGGTCCACGGGGCCGCCTCGTGCGGCCGCGCTGCGGCCCTCGTGTTGGGTCGGGCCTGTCCCCCCTACAGGGGGATTTTCGACGAGAAGTAAAAAGTACCCCAAAAGTGCCCCAAAATTGCAACAAAAAAAAATGCAAAAAATAGTCCCCAGACTATTCTTGGATTATTCTTGGATTATTGGGTATGTTTCATGTTTCGTCGAAAATCCCCCTGTGGGGGGGCAGGCCCGACTTAACCCTCGTGGGCCGTCTCTTGCGGGCCTCCCGGGGGCCTCCTGAACCGTGCTGGTGCAAGGGCGGGGGCCTGCGGGGCCGCCCTGGAGCGCCGGAGCACCGAAACGGCGAGAGCGCGAAGATCTGTCAAGCACTTAATCAAGGGCAGAAAGAACGCCCTTACCCTGGTTTACGGTTTACGAGGCGCTGTGCTCTGAAACTCCCGTGGGCTGACAGGGTAAACCCTGCGTGATGTGCCGCGTCCTGGCGGCTCTAGGCTTTGAGGGTTCCCAGGAGGTTTACAGACCACGCACTTGTAACCCAGGGTAGGGTCGTTCTTTCATCCCTCAACTTAAGGGACATGAGCGATCTTCACATCCTGGAGTCTCGGAGCCCGCTCGGCGCCTTTTTGGGGGCCTCTTGGGCCATGTCGAGGGCGTCTCGGGCTATATCGGGGCCAGCCTGGCCGTCTTGGGGGCCAGCTTTACCGTATTAGAGGCCATGTTGGAGCCGTCTTGGGGGGATAATGTATGAGTTGCTGATTTCTCTTGGGTGCTTTGGGTTGCCGACAGGTTGGGCCGACGGTCCCTGGGCACCTCGGAACAATCCAAAGCATTATAACGTTTGGCACGCCGTGCACCCTTGTGGCAAGCCGCGGGGGGCGGCGGATCGAAGACGTTTACGGCGAGTCACCGCCGCTCCCTGCCTTCGTAGGATAGGCCTATGAGGCCAACACGTTTGAGCACAGCTTGGTCGCGCGATTAAACCATGCGTTCCCCGATCCGTAGTGGAAGCCCTTCGGGAAACACGCGGGGGGAGGAAGAGGAGGGCGAAGACAGGGGGAAAAAGAAGGACGAAGGATGAGGAGACCTCTTGGGAGCTTCTGGGTCATTCTTGGGGCCTCCTGGGGACTTCCAGGGGGCCTATTGGAAGCCTCTTGGGGACTTCCTTTGGGCTACTTCGGGACCTTTGGAGGTTGTTTGGGGTCTTTTGCTGTCGTACGGCGTTCCTGGCGCGCCTGACGCTGTCGGAAGCCGGTTTGGGAGCTTCCTTGGGCCGTTTTGGTGCCCTCTAGGAGCGCGTCAGGCTCGTTTGAATGCCTTTGGGGCCTTTGGGGGGCCCTCTGGGGGCCGTCTTGGGAAACGAATCGAAAGCCACTAGACATGCAGCGCGCCGTGCACCCCCTACCGTAAGCACAGGGAGCGGCGTATCTAGTGACCTTCGGCCCATCCCGACACCGCGCCTGGGAAGTAGGTTAGAGACATCTGGGATGGTGCGGGGATCTCTTGGGAGGCATGTCGGACGCCTTTTGGATTCGATTCTGTGTTGTCTTGGGGGCCTCTCGGTGGCCTCTTGGGGCCTGATTTGGGCCTGCTGGCGGTCTCGGGGGCCATCTTGGGGCACAGGGCTCGAAATGTCGATTCGTTTTCCCCCTCTCGGGCCTCTCTTGGGTCCCCTTCGGGGCCGACCGCCCGAAAAGGTGAGAACACTAGCGTCCTTCGAACACCTGGCGAACGTGAATGATTCTGGCATCTCGGGGCCCTCCTGGGGCGTCTTTGGGGGCCTCCTGGGCAGTTTCGGGACCATCTGGGGCGTTTTGGAACGATCCTTGTGCGACTCGGGTCCATCTTGGGCCGTTGTTTTGGGGGCGTCTCGGGGCCCTCTTGGCCCGCCTGGGCGCCCCCTGGCCTCTGGTAGACCCATGCGTTCGACCCCAACAGGGCCCAACAGATCTGGAAATGTGGGCCTTCCATCTTGAACTATGTTTGTAGTAGTTTTTCTATTAATTTTTGTTGCCGATCGGCGCGGGCCCTCGCACCCCCCACCTCCCCCCCATGGAGTAGAGCTTGGCTGTTTTTGGCGCTTGTTTCAAGCAGGTGAAGTCCCTCCACTATTTGACGCACTGTTGCAAACAGTCGCACTCAGCAGAGGTTCGGAGCCAGACCCCCCCCTACCCCCCTTCCGCCCAATGCCGAAACGCCGAGTAAGCAAACGTTCACATTCTGAATATTGGACCCTTCTGGAACTGGAACCCTCCAAGACAGTTAGTTCAAATCAGACCCCACAAAATCATATCATTTTTTCTGTGACATCTGGAGTAGTTGCAGCTAACACAGAATTCGAATGGACCTGCGGATTCTCCAACTCGTGCCTCAGGGCACGGCGGCTGGTACACATACATCCATGTCCAATGATTTTATACACCAGCACCCTGCTCGAAAGCACAGGCAGAGTTCAAAGGTGTGCGCTGATGTCCAATACTTTGTGACGTACTCATTTTTCCCAGCACTCCTCCGCCAGGCGTTCCAAATGCGGACGTCATATGATGAAAACCAGAGCGCAGATTATGGAGAGGCTGGAAAGTGTGCAGGCAGTGCTGCTGACCCCTCTTTCGCAGATTTCGGCGGGGCGTCCTGGACCCTGCACACCCTGCTCCCCAGCTCACTCCGGCCCCAGGCGCGTACCTGTGGCCCGCGCTGAGCTGTTACGGTTTCGGGCAGCTTCGCGGCGAGAGCGTGCGGCGAGTATCCTTGGCGCCTCTGGTGGTTCTGGGCGGCCGGGCCGGAGTTTGCCCTCATGGGCACCCTCGCGCGGAGTCTTGGCGGCTCATCCCTGTTCCTGTCATCCCGAGGGTGTGGTATCCTTGGCTCCTCTGGTGGTTCTAGGGTGTTGGGTCGGAGCTTGCCTTCGTTGGCTTCCTCGCGCAGAGTCCTGGCGGCGCATCCCTGTTCCTGCCATCCCGAGGTGGCCTTCGCCACAGGCACGCCCTCGCCGTTCCCGAGGCTCGGCCGTGCTCGCTACCCCGTAGATGCGCCGACGGTGTGTTAACTGACGGCGACGCAGGGAGACCACTTGTAGGAAGGCATGGTCCGTGGCCAAGCTGATTGCAGGAACGCGTGGTTCGTGTTTTCCTGCAGCTCGCTGTGTCGTTTTCGTTTGATACATTCGCAGATTCGACATGTAGGAAGCGGTGTTCCGGAATTTCCCGCATGTTGTTCTGAGTGAGCCCGGTGCCACAACACCAGACTCCCAACCGCACCGTTAACCAAGCATGCCGTTGGCGCGGCCTTGGCAACCCCGTATCCGAATGCGCCCTTGGGCTGCTCAATACGGCTCCACGGATGTGTGGCGCATTGTCAAACAGAGACCTTGCATACTCCGGCCCCGTGGCAGCCCAGTGCTTGCTCGACTTCCCCCAGCTTCCACTAGGCATCCCACATGCTCTCCGAATAACCGCGCCGCCTCCTCTCAGCCGCAATTTTAGACTCGATGGCGAGGACAGGAAACACAACGTATCGCAGTTACGATCGAATTCGGGCATGTCCCTCTACAGGAGGAGTATTCAAAAATAGTGTGAAAAATAGTCTGGGGACGATGTTTTGGCTATTGTTGAATGGGTTTTGATATTATTTTTTATGTTTCGTCCCAAATCCGGTTGTAGGGGAACATGCCCGACCTAAAACTACGAGAGGTCCTCAGTACGATTTGTTTTTCAGTTTCCCATTCGTGACATTTCGAGTATAATACCCACCAGCCTATTCCAGAAACGATGCCCAGAGGAGTTGTGTGAGGAGAGGCGTAGGTAAGCAGATAGTGAAGCAGTAAGGCCAATACGGTGAAATTTGCGACCTCGGGCAGCTTCTCTGGGCGTCACTGAGGGCCATTCTGGAAGCTTTGCTCTCTTGGGGCGCTCTGAGGGCCCTCTTCGGGATCCCTTGGGGTCCTCTTGGGGCCCTCGATCAACATCGGTCAAACAGAGAGGCGGCGTCGATTACACCCACCCCCTCTCAGGCCGAACAACTGCCGCTTCGGGCGTTCGTGGGCTCCCTTGAAGCCTTCTTGGGCCCCTCTTGGGCCCATCTCGGGGCCCTCTTGGTTCATCTTGGAGCCATCTCGAGGCTTCAAGAGCTCATCGGAAGCGACACGGCGAGAATACAACAACGCATCTTGTTTTATTTGTTTTGGACGGATTTGGGGTCTCTGGGGGCCTTGGGGACTTGGAACCGTTTTGATGCATGTCGGGAGCGATCTTGATCCATCGTGGGCTAGGTTGGTCGATCTTGCATGACCTCTTGGCTTATCTGGGGTCATCGTGGGATCATTTTAGAGAATGTAGGGGTAGCCTCATCCCCGAAGAGTGAAATAACGGGTTTGGACGAACGACGACAAGCCTCAATTTTTTTTGGCATGGCGCCAGCTCAGTTTATGGTTTTCGACGCTCCAGGTCCGCCCATCTTCATCAAATGCAATAGAGTGCGCATCATCGCCTGCATATGTACCACAGATCTCCCCCAGGAATTTCAGAAGCACGGTGTCAACTTCTGCGCCTTCGACATGTCGGGCCAGAGCAGATACCGCAATCTGTGGGAACATTATTATGGTGACACATTGGCGCCGACGTGCGTGCGTGACCAGTTTCGAGTGGTGGCTAGCATCTCGTTCGGTATAGGATTGGCTTGTCAAGTTGTTGTTGCCGTGGCAGTGAATGATTGATTGCCTTGGTGAAGCACGGCATGAATCAGGAGGAGGAGACGGGGGATAATGAGAATGGGTCGCACAGTATTGTTCTTGGTGTTCGTATACGCACATACATACATGCATACATACATAACTACATATGTACGTGCGTATACATACATATGTCTACATACATGCATACATGCATACACATACACATATACGCACGCACGCACGCTCGCGTGTACGTAAGTACATACATGCATACATACATGCATACATCCACATACACATACACATACACATACATGCAGACACACAGACAGACAGGCAGGCAACATAAAGAGACAGACAGACATACAGACAGACAGAGAGACAGACAGACAGACAGACAAAGAGACAGAAACAGACATATAGACAGACAGACAGACATTTTTGATTTATATGTAAATATATAGATTGCACGCATATATGTATATACACATATAGCTGTACATGTATATATGTATAGGTATCTATGTATATATACGTGTATCGGAGGTGAGGGGGTGAGATCGAAGTGGAACGGACAGCCCCCCTACGGGGAAATCGATTTCGGTTTCGTGTTCGTGCGTGTCGTGCGTGCCGTGCGGGCGAGGCGAAGCTGCGTGGGCGGGCGAGAGAATGTCTCCTGTGGCTGAGGCGCGGCCGGACCAAATGTCTCCCTTCCGGGCGGCCGGGGCCCCGCGGTGTCCCGCCGGTGTCCCGCTGGTGTCCCGTGTGGCTGAGGCGCGGCCGGATCAAATGTCTCCCTTCCGGGCGGCCGGGGCCCCGCGGTGTCCCGCCGGTGTCCCGCTGGTGTCCCGTCGGTGTCCCGTCGGTGTCCCGATGATGATGATGATGATGATGATGATGATGATGATGATGATGATGATGATGATGATGATGATGATGATGATGATGATGATGATGATGATGATGATGATGATGATGATGATGATGTTGATGTTGATGTTGATGTTGATGTTGATGTTGATGTTGTTGATGATGATGGTGATGATGATGTTGGCGTTTTATTTTGATTATCGATAGTGAGATCGATAGTGAGGTCGAATGTGAGATCGATAGTGAGATCGATAGTGATATCGATTGTGAGATCGAGCGTGAGACCGAGTGTCATATCGATTGTGAGATCGATTGTGAGATCGATAGTGGTATCGGTAGTGAGATCGATTGTGAGACCGAATGGGAGATCGATTGTGAGATCGGTTGTGATTATCGATAGTGAGACCGAATGTGAGATCGATTGTGGGATCTATTGTGAGATCGATTGTGAGATTGATAGTCAGATCGATTGTGAGATCGATCGATTGACATTGATAATGAGATCGATAGTGAGTTCGATAGTGAGATCGATGGTGACGATTGTGATATCGGTTGTGATATCGATAGTGAGATCGGTAGTGAGACCGAATGTAAGATCGATAATGAGATCCAAAGTGAGTTCGGTAGTGAGATCGATAGTCAGATCGAATGTGAGATCGATTGTGATATCGATTCTGAGATCAACAGCGAGACCGAATGTGAGATCGATTGTGAGATCGATAGTCAGATCGATTGTGAGATCGATCGATTGAGATCGATTGTGAGATCGGTAGTGAGTTCGATAGTGAGATCGATCGAGTGCGACGTTGGTCCCTCCCCCCCCTCACCTCCTTATCACCCGAAGGGTGTTCGTATAGGTATATACATATGTATATATGTATATGTATATACATGTGTATATATGTATATATATATATATATGTATATATGTTCTCCTATATGTTTGCAAGCCGCGGGGGTGGGACCCCACCCCCAAAACCGACCCCCAGGATCCAGGGTGTGCATGCCCCGCGGACACCCGTGCCAAGGCCTCCCGGCTCGTCCTGGACCTCCCAGGGCGGCTGGCCAGGCCCCCAAACGGTGCGGTGACCACACCGTGTGGTGAGTCGGTGGGGATTCGGGGTTACCGCACGGTTTTGGGACTCGGGTCGTTCTCCGAGGACGTCTCGGGCAACAGGGGCATCCGAGGTCCCAAGACCGTGCGGTGACGGACCGTGCGGTGAGGTCTTAGAGAATTTCGAGGTCACCGCACGGTCTGTCACCGCACCGGTTCGGGACTCCGAAAGGGCGGCTGGCCGGGTCTTGACAGCAGACCAGCGATCAGAGCGGTGATCACAGAGGCCGAAGGGAGACCCAAGACAGTTCAAGAGCGCTCCAAGAAGGACCTAGACGGCCTCGAGAGGCCCCCAAGACGGCCCAGGAGGCCCTGAACAGGACTCAGAACGCAGAAAGTGCTTCATTCCTTTAGGGAACGTGCCTTTTCAGCATATTCGCTGTCTGGGTCTTATACACGCTTCAAAAACAGCCAAAAAGGCTTCCGGTATCGCCCCAAGACGGCCGAAGAGAGCCTCTAGACGGCCTGGATGGCCCCCAGATTGCCCAGCAAGAAGCCACACGTTGGCCAAAAAGAAGCCCAACAGGCCCTCACAATGCCCCAAAGAGAAGCCCAAGAAGGCCATGGGAGGCACCCGAAAAAGCCATGGAAGGCCACCAGGAGGGCCCACGTAGCCCCCGTCAGGTCCCTGAGGGCCCAAGCTCCCCAATACGGCCGAAGATGGCCTCGAGAGGGCCCCAAGCCGACCCACCAGTGCTCCAACAAGGCCCACACGGCGCTTTCCACAAAACGAGCCCGAATCCCTAGATCGCAACCACATTTCCGGGCAATCTGCTGTGAACCCAGCATTCTGTGCATTCCCCTAGAATTTTTGACTTCGCGTGCCCATTTGCGACCCGCTGCAACATGACATCCTCGGCCTGGCATTGCTTTGTACTTTGCGGCATTGCTTGACATTGCGTCGGGTTGCTTGGCATTCATTCGCGTGGCTTGCCGTTCCTTCGCATTGCGAACCGGGCCAGCTGAGCCACGAGCGGGCCAATGTGCGGGCCTACAAAGGCCTTTCGTCGTCATTCACTGCCAGACATTTCTGCAAGCGTATACGTACACATGAAACCGTAGCCGTTGGCTTCTGGACAGCGCTTCTCGGTGCGGCGCAACCCAAATTCTTCGCCGTCTCCCGACAGCGCCATCTCTTTCCCTCCTGCTCATCCTCTGGGTCCTCCTCCTTCTCCTCCTCCTCCTCCTCCTCTTCCTTTTTCTGCCACTCCACTCGTCCTCCCCCACATCCGCTTCCCGCTCTTCGCTTCCCGAGATTCCTTCCTTCCTATCCTTCGCCCTCCACCCGGCGCCTTTCGGGAGCCTCCGGAGGCCCTGGAAGGGCCACATACCGCCCGAATGTTCGAGGACTTACGAACTCCACCGCAGGGAAGGGGCCAACTTTCCAAGGCCAGTAGGGATGGCGCGAACGACCAACACAGGCAAAGCCTCAAGAACCAAGGTGCATGGCGCGAAGCGCCAATGCAGCCTTGTACAATATATATATATATATATATATATAGATATATAGATATATATATATATATATATATATGTATATTCCTCTTCCTATATGTTTACAAGCCCAGGCGGGGGAAAACCCGCCCCACCCCCCCCCCAAAACCGGACTCCTGGGATCTGGGGCTTTGGGACCCTTCGGACGGGCCTCGAAGCGGCCCCCCGGGCTTCGCAGGGCGTTTTGCCAAGCCTTCGCAGCACACCTAGGGCGATCAGGGGGGTCATCGGAGACGTCCCAGAGAACCCCAAGACAGCACAAGAGCGCCCCAAGAAGCCGTCATACCCCGAAAGATCGCTCCAAAACGTACCAAGAGGCCTCCAAGAGCACCCCCAAGAAGGCCCCAAGAGGGAATAATCATCGATTTAATGCAGGTTTTTGGTGAATTTCGGGTTCTTCTCTTTTCGGCTTCCCGACGCTACAAGACAGCGGTCTTCTTGGCGTCCGAAGTCGCTTGGGAGGCTCCAAAATCGCCCCGCAACCATCCGAAAGGGCTTCCAGGCAGTCCAAGAGAGCCCCAGAACTGCACAACAGGGATCCAAAATGACCCTAAGAGAGCCCCATGGCGGCCCAAGATGGCCTCAAGACGCCCTCCGAAGCATTCCAAATCGTGACTGGGGCGTTCAGGGAGATTGCGGTTAGAGGCAGGTTGGCCTTAGGAAGCCCCAGAGGTCCCCAGAACACGCCCAGGAGGCCTCCAGAAGGCTCTAAAAAAGCTTGAGAACTTTGGTGAGGCCCCCAGAGGCTCTCTAAGAAGGAGCCTCCGCAAAAAGAGCTGAGGATGATGGGAAGCACACCCAGGGTATGGCGAGAATGAGGAAAAAAAGCATGGAGGAGGGATAACGAACAACATTATTACAACGGCAATGCCAGAAAAGGCAGCGATGAGTTATCGCAGAATTGTCCGCTTGACCTTCCTGCCATTTCCGCCTGCATACCAATCTTCAAGGACCAAGGTGCATGGCGCGAAGCGCCACTGCAGTCTTGTATGTGTGTGTATATATATATATGTGTGCATGTGTATATATATATGTATACGCCCCCCGGGCCAAGACGCTGTCAAGCAACACAAGAAAGCGTTCCGACGGCTTCCCAGGCTCCCATGATCGCCGAAGAGTTAATTAACCAGAATGCCTCCAAGAGGCCCCAAGAGACCTCCGCGTCCCGAGAGGGCCCGGAGAGCCCAAAATCGTTGATTTTCATGCATGTGTTTTGGCCTTCTCGCGTTTTCGAGCCTTCAACGCTCCAAGACAGCCGAAGAGGCCCCGACCCCCACAGGCCGGCGGAAGAGAGGCTCCTCAAGAGGCCAAGGCGGCCACACACAGCCTCAAGGCTGCCCAAACCCAGACGGGCCAAGAGCTCCCCAGGACCGCTCGAAACAGGCCCGAGAGCAGGAGCAGGAGGCTCCACGAGGACCCAGAGAAGTCTCCAGGACCCCCCAGAGGCCCCC